TTGTGCTATTCACTCTTTTTGTAGGCCACCAGAATTGTTAGTCTTAAATTTTGTAAGCCTTCAAAACCCTAATATTTGGCTCTGACCTTGAAAAGGCTTCTAGATTCACCCTCGAGAATGCATCAGTTTTTAAAGTACTCAGTTGAGAAAGCACCCAAGAGAGATGCTTATTTGAGAAGCTCCTTGGAGATTACTGCTTGTTCACACTCTGTGTCATTTGTCTCGGCAACAAACTGCAAACCAAACTGAGAACACATAATTTCCCTCCTGACTCCCTGTGATTAAACTGCTGTCCCAAACTTGGGGAGATTTTCTTGGAATTCTCCTAGAGATTGCTGGTGGAAATGTGAAACTGATAGAGGCAACAAAAGCCAGGAAGAGTGTTCACATTGCTGAAGGCTAAAGAAAGCAGTTACAGCTGGCTGAGAAAGTGAAGGGCCAGGCATGAACAGGTGTTTAAAGAAATCCACACTGAAAACTCTGCAGTCTTTCCCAGAATTTGAAGAAGTCCCTTTTTTTGGACTACAGCTTCCAGAATCCCCAGCCATCATGCTTATGGAAAGTTGTGATCCAACCCCTCCACCTCCCCCAAGTTCTGGTTCTTTTCTAGCTGCAATATCTACAAATAACTTTCATTTTTTTCAGCTGGTTCATTTTAAGGAACACAGTAGCCCTTAGTGCAGTGGTTCTCAGCCTTTGGCCCTCCAAAGATTTTGGACTTTAGCTCCCAGAATCCCTCACCACTGGATGTGCATGCTGGGGCTTCTGGGTTTTAAAGTCCAAATATCTGGAGGACAAAAATTTGGGAATCTATGGTGTGATGGCTCTTTTGAATATTATGCTGAATATGTGAGATTTGGGTAAATATATCCTCATTCTTCACTCATGTACTTTTCAGACAATATCCAAAGAGGGCTAATATAAATGTTCTCAAAATAAACCTGATGCTAATGAGGTCCTGATTGGAACACAAAAATGAGGGTAGTTGTGTTGTCCCATAGGACAAATACAAAATCCAAAATCTGGAAATATGTTCACAATGTATGTATAAGGGTCAACTATAGATCCACAATAATGAGCAAACTTTCAAGCTCTCTAAAACTTTTAAATCAGGCTAAGGTGGTAAAAATTTAAAGGACAGGGAGGAAGCATAAAAATTCCCCCCTCCCCAAATTGGCAAGAATGTGTAAGAAGCCATAAAATCTGTGGTTAAACTCAGTACTGGGATGGAGAGGGATAAGTCACTGGTAGGTGTGGATGACATCCAGCTGGGATGAAGATAAATAGCAGCTCTGCATTTTTGAAAATACATGGTTGTTATTAGCATCTCAGAGACCCACCTCTTCCCTTATGCAAAACATAGGTTTCTTAGGCAGCACACAACAAACAAACAAACAAACTGGTCCTTTTGTAAGCAAAGTTCGAGATCATAGCCAAGACAATATTTCCCCGCTAACCCCCCAAACCCCACCTTTTAACTGCTGCACCCCACAGTGTCAATTCACTGAGCGAGGGAGCAACAGTTGGACACACAACACTGATGCTTTTCTCTAGGATGTCTAGAGGAAGTCCCAGAGAATGTCTCATTACTGTGCATCCAGACATAAGAGCAAAGTTGGTTGCTTCTCTACTGCTCCCTTGCTCTCCAATGGCTGGTAGAGTGGGTTTTTTATTTTTTTTAGTGGGAAGGCTAAACAACTTAAAATATTTTTTGTAAGATAGTTTGATTGTTTGGGATATTTGGCAGATTCCAAACCAAGGAATACTTAGAAACTGATGGGCTGATTCAAAAAGAAATTTCTGGGCTTGTGCAAAGTTGTTCCCCACCATTGCAATGCATCCTTAAGTCATCCTTAAAGCATTATATTGAATGGTTTTGAGGGAGAGACTTTGTGTTGTGTTCTTGTTTTAGGCCTTCAAGTTGTTTCCAACTTATGTCGATCCTAAGGCAAACCTATCACAGGTATATTTTAGCAAGATTTGTTCAGAGGGGTTTTTGCCAGTGCCTCCCCCTGAGGCTGAAAGAGTGACTTCCTAGGATCACCTAATGGATCTCATGCTGAATGGGGATTTGAACCCTTGTCTCTAGAGTAATAGTTGAATGTCCAAACCACTATACCATGTGGGCTCTTCCTTACATGAGGCCAGTTTTCTGTCCTTGTCTTCTCTGATGGCAGGTGTGGGTGGTGGTAGTGGTGGAAGAACATGCATGGGATATGCTGCTCAATTTGTCTCCTGATGCAATCCCCTAAAACCCATCTTGAAAGCCGTATAGTGGTACCAAGTGAAGAAGTTTGGTAGTGCTGGTGAGTGGGGTGCTGAAGGATGGTATATCCAGCCCCCTCCCTCCAGTGAACTGCGTTGCAGCTCCTCTTCACAATGCAGGTTGTTAGTGGAAGGAGGCTGGATGCATTGTCCTTCAGTGTCCTGCTCACCTGAGTTGCAGAATTCCTTCACCTGGTACAGTTGACTGGCTTTTAAGATGGGTTGTAGGGGCATCTGCAGTCATGTCCATGACTGTAAATATGAATTTGAAATTGTAGTAAGGTCTGCCACTGGGATCTAGCTTACAGCATCATACCTGCTTAACAAAATGCCTGCCAATGTATTTGGACAGTCACTAAGAATAAGAGTGTTTGTGACTGTGTCTAGCGATCACCATTTCACTGCTGCCCCCAGAAAGGTGATCTACAGAAAGTGTCTGTTGGGAGGGAGGTGAAATAGTGGCTGTTGGTAACTAAAACATTTACAGGTACACAGCAAATAAAATGATTTTTTTCCTTGTTCAGGTATAATATTGCTTCATCCATTGTGAAAACAAATTAATTAGGAAGTAAGTTGTTATGGGCTATAAGTAATTTCCAAGCTCTGTTCTTTATTCAGTGATGTACAATTTAGAAAATGACATACTGTAACACTCAGAAGGCTACGGAGGTTTGGCAGTATTAGTAACACAATACAAGAAGAAGCAGCAGCAGCAGCCAAGTTCAGCTTTCTACAATGCAAATGTAGATTTTGTATTGGGATGAAAACCCTGAGTATCTGCTCAGTGCCATGTGCACCAATTCCCTTCCAGCCCAGTGAATGTAAATTACTGATGAACATAGCAAATATGTAAAAGGGTGGCATTCTAATTCAGATTTCACGCATGGGGGAAGTGGGAGAGGAGAGAAAAGAGGTTTGTGGAAATGGTGTGAGTAATCTAAAAGAGAAGGCATTAGTTGTTTTAAAAGAATATCTGAAAGCAAATAGGATTTGGGGGGATGGAGGTTGCTTTTGTCTTTTCTATCTGACATTCTCCACTGAAGAACAAGCAAGAGGATAACATGGCAATAAGAAATTAAGAGCACTAGCTCAGAAGCACTCTTGTCAGATGGGTGCCAAAAGAATCCACTACCTTGAGCCAAGGCAGTCACGGACTGAAAGAGTAACATCAATGCATGTCTTCTTTTTATAATTTCAGGCAAAAAGCTTGTTTGGCTGTGTGTAACGCAGTTAGACTCTTTCCTCAGCTCGTCTCCAAAGAAACCATTTAAATCCAAGACTTGTTTATCCATAGCAAGCTGCCTTTCAGTCAGAGGATTAGTACACCTTCTCAGTAATGTTAGCCCTGAAAGGCAGCAGATGTACAACACTTCAGGCAAGGTTCTTTCCAAGCTCTACTTGGAAATCCCTAGCTGGTACACCTTGATGGTCTCCTATCACAATATTAATTCACTCTGATCCTGCTTAGTTTCCAGAATCTGATAAGATTGGATGTGGTGGGTGGAGTGGAATGCGCACTCCACCAGATGTTGTTTAGCAACAGCTTTCATGAGCCTCAGCATGTATATCCATGGTAAAGGATGATGTGACTTGTAGTCCAACATCTGGAGGACTACATTTTCCCTCACCTGGCTACATTCTTGTTATGTGTCCTCAAGGTGTTTCTGACCTATAGTGACCCTAAGGTAACCCTATAATGGGGTTTTCTTTGCAAGTTTTGTTCAGAGGGGGGTTTGCCTTTGCCTTCCTCTGAGTGTGAGTCAACCAAGGTCATCCTGTGGATTTCCAAGGCCAAGGCCAAGTCTCCAGATCCCTGGTCTCCAGAGTCATAGGGGGGTTGCAGACTGCTAGAAATAGTGCAAATTGAGTCCATTTTTAGGGTTAGAGTTAGGGTTAGGGAATCATGGGAACTGTAGTTTATTGTGGCACCAGAGCTCTCTGACAGAGAAGGCTCAATGTCTCAGAAAAAAACACAATTCCCATGATTCCCTAGCACTAACCCTAACCCTAAAAGTGGACTCAATTTGCACTATTTCTGGCAGTCTGCAACCCCCTATAGTCCCATCACTCAAACCATTACACTACTCTGGCTGTCATCTCACTATAGATTTTACTTATTTCCTCCAAGCTACTTGTTCCTGAGTGTGTTGAGGGAGCATGGTGAAGATGGATTTAACTTTACAAGGAAAATATAGAGTATAAATCAGGCACAGCTGTCTGTTTGGAACTCACTTTTAATAATAAGCAATTTTACCCCCGGCAACCTATTGTACGTGCTGCAGGGGAAAGCTTACATATACACAATAACACTCCTTTTGGTTCTGGCACCTTCAAAGGCCAACAGCACCCCATTCCCTGAGATTTCAGGGGCAAGACTAAAAGTTCCAGCTGGAATTTACAGTTGCAATTAGCAATGCATACAGTTATGCATTTGTAACTGATTCGTATTCATGACCCCACTGTATTCAGCAGTGTAGGGAATATGTATAGATCACAAACGTCCTTCAGTCCTGACTTATCAAGCAGCTGCCGCTATGAGAGACAGTGGTTTATTCTCCTGTTGATCAGGATGAAGCAGACTGATGTTTCTACCTCCTACACTATGAGTGATCTCCATTGGGACAACCAGGAGCAGGATTCCTGTCACGTTTCCTCCTTGCAGCAGAGATTAATTTTGGGATGAGGGTGGGAACATCGGTCTGCTGTGTATAAGGGAACAGAGCCCTATCACTCATAGCAGCTCCTGTTAGTGGGGGCTGGGGGAGGTTGGACCAGTAGATGCTTACTTACACAACCTACCTAACTAAGCAGCACATATAGAAAATCGGTCTCCCTCTTTGCTGTCCTTCTGGTAGTGAGTACAAACTTTCATGTTCCAACAGGTTCTTAGGGATTGGCTACAATGAGTTTTTAATGGTATGCAGTCTTGTTGATTTTTATCAACTCTCTTTTAAATCATTTTAATGTAATTTCAAAAGTTAAAGAATGTATAACTGCATTAAAAATAACTCTGTATGTTTTTACTGATGTCATTATGTGCATTTTAAGTAGTATTTTTAAATTTTTTTCTTGTAAGCTGCCTTAACTCCCAATATTGAGATAAAAGTGGGATATGAAATAATAATAATAATAATAATAATAATAATAATAATAATAATAATAATAATAAATGTTTGAATCTTGGGATGTGTACTTCTGATACATACTCTCCAACTGTTCTGATTAATCCTCTGTCATTCCAATTTTTCAGCTGCTTTAAAAATGTTCTTGTTTCTTTCTCTTCCTTCTATTTCCTCCCTTTGTCATCAGCTTACTTCAGTTGCCTAAAGCTTGAGTTCAAAGTGAAAAAGTAATTTGGACTCAAGTTAATTCAGAGGGAGGGGAGAATCTTGTCCTTCCCAGTAGGCTCAGGCAAAAGCAAATTGCTGCAGTCTCTGCTAGCTTGTCTGTTTTTCCTCATTAATAACTTTTGTCATCTTGACCATACTCTGATGTTATGCAAAGGGATCTTGTAGCACCTTTGAAATTAAATGTGTGAAACAAATTGTAGCATAAGCTTTCATAGACTTAAGCTGCAAGAGGGAAGGAAAGAAGAGACATTTACCTGTGAATAAGCCACACAGATGCAAACATACATTAGCTAATGAAGTGCCCTAAAGGATTTCAGGAGGAAAACAGCATATGTTAACTGCATAGATCATGAAAAATTATAGATCATGCTAAAAAAGCAAAGCAAAAGAAAAGCAAAAGAATGTGACATTTGATTGCCTTAATGTATAACCTTTATTCTGGACAAGAGGTCACTATAGGGACAAAATATGAAGAATCAGAATGATTTTCAGTTGACACCCTATTTGTTTAATCTGTATGCAGAACATACACAGACAGCAGGATTTGACTTGGGTAAAGGAGGTGTGAAAAGTGGAGGAAAGGGTAACAGTAATTTAAGACAGGGGTCGGCAAACTTTTTTGGGGTGGGGCTGGTTCTGGTGTCCCCCGATCTTCGGCAGGTCAAAGGGGGGGGGAATGGCGGTAGAGGCGCGCACACTACCCCTGCCATGGTGTGCATGCGTATGCGAGAGTGGGGCACCATTTTGCTTTCCAAAATGGCTCCCGCGATTGCACACGCATGCTCACTACGCCCGTCGTGGTGTGCATGCGTACGCGAGTGCGGGATACCGTTTTGGATATTTTAGAATATTTTCTAGTTCTTTCATAGCTGCTCTACCTGCTCTTAATCTTACTCTGATTTCCTGGCTGCAGTCCCCAATCTTATCAATTCATAGAAATAGTCAAAGATTTCCTATACATTGGTTAAGTCATCAGGCAATGTGGAGACTGTAATCAAGAAATCAAAAGACTAAGGAGTGATGCAGACCGGCCAAAAGGGCCAGCCTGGGGGTGGAGTTGGGGTGGGCAACCGCACACCAGCTGCCCTGACGCCGCTGTCATGCTGTGCGCCTGACCGCATGACATGTGGTGTTGGGGTGCCCCGTTGGTGCAACGTGTAAACACACTTTGCCAAAGGGTTGCAAAAGAGCTGCGGCAGCAGCACTAAGGGAGGCTTTTTGCCACCCCCAAAAGGAGTGGCATTTGCCAGCTCTTTTTGGAGTGGCAAAAATCTGGATTGGGGCTACGGTGTGTGGTTGCTGAGGCCCCGATCTGGCACTCCCAGGGGCGGCACAGAGTTGCCCCTTAGGGGCCATCTGTACGTCCCCTAAGACTTGAAAGGGAAAGTGTGAAGTCCAAAATCAGGTTTATCCATGCTATAGTATTTCTGATTTCTATCTAGATATGTGAATGAGGAAAACCAGAAAGGGGGAAAAAAGCAGTAGATAAGTGGTGCTGTAGGAGAGTAAATAG